TCAAAAAAGTCTTCAGGATAATGTGAGAATGTCTGTACATCAGCTGAAACTCTGTAGAAGTTGGGTGATGCAACAGGACAATGACCCAAAAAACCGGAGCAAGTCCACAACAGAATGGCTTCAGAAAACCAGTTATTAATTCCAGGGGTTCACTTACTTTTTTCATTACCATTTTGAATGTTGAATTTTTTATGTGGTGTTCTTTTGGAAAGATCAGAATTTGTATGTGTTTTGTAGGCACATTGTATTTGTCAATACTTGACTTAGATGAAGATCAGATCACATTTTATGACAAATTAATGCAGAAAACTACGAAATTCCAAAAGGTTCACATACTTTTTCTTGCCACTGTTTATTAAAAATCTTTGACATAAATGGAACCTCTTAAACAAAAATAAGGCTTTTTGCTGACTTTATTTGCAACTGCCTAGTAACAATTATGGGTTGGATAACTTCCTTTTTTTTCATTTTTTAGTCCAAATTTCTATTATGAAAGTTGAGTTGACATCAACTATTTGCGGATAATGTCATTAAAAAGAAACACAAATGATAAGGCTTGAGGTCGCAGCACCAAATCAGCTCTTCCACTGTCTCTCACTATGACATCGTTGTGGCTAGTTTGTTTATGCACAGTAGGACCTGATGCATTCCTTTCAATCTAATTTATTGAATGTGTGTCATCTGTGTCTGAGTTATTGTTTTATTTTTGCACAAAACCTATTTTATTTTAGTTATTTATCGTGATTTTATTCTGCTTACGTAAAATACTTTGGTCAACTGGATGTTTCTTTTAAAGTGCTATATAAATAAATTTGATTTGATTAGTGATCTAGTCACTACATGGCTGCTGACCCTGAATGTAAATATGAAACACTGAAAAACATTGGAACACCTGATTGGTTGGAACTCCTGATTGATTTTACCCATTTGACCATGTCCTCAAAATGCTGACAAAGAAGACAAAGCCATATTACACTGTACAATCCTACAGTGAGTTGAAAGCAAGAAGAAACTAAGCCCCTTTTTCAGCCTTGCAGTTGCAATGACAAGTACAAAGCAGTAGGTCTGGATACACAAACTGTGTAGGTGTCTCCAAGCTAAGCTACTTCTAGTTGTTTCATTTGTTGTATGTGCAGCAGTTCAGAGTGCTTAGCCACACATCGCTGGTCTCATTGTTTGGAAACTGCTGTAGCAATCACATAGTGGATTTTCCCCACGTGAATGTAACGAGCCATAAACTGGAGTTTCCCATACCCTTAACACAGCAGAACCTGGATGGATGATGTGGTTGGTTCCGCTTAGCATTTTTCACATGTCTGTCGCTGTTTACACAAGGCTAAGCTGCTCACACATGCATACAGAGCAGAGGATGATGAATCAGTGACCACAATGTTAATCATGAGTGCACCATGATCTGCCAGTAATGGAGACTGCAGTTTATCAAACAGCTGATGAACAGAGCACAAACTTGCATGAACTGTGATCTTTTTGCCTAGTCGGCTTGCTGAAGTTTTCATTTTACCTCTAAACTGGCATGAGTGTATGTTTACTGTTAATACTTGAGACATGCTGATGCTGATGTTTATCACAGACAAGACAATCACAAGCACCATACGAGCACCCGCTCACTCCTCCGTTGAATACCTGGAACTTGATTTAGTTCTACAGAAAGGTGACAGATTTAAGGAAAAATTCTGAATAAATGAGTGGTCTCCTCCAGGATGACAGTGCCCCCAGCCACAAGACACAAGAGGTCACTGAATGGCTTGATGCAGTGTTCCTCCATACACTGACTTATTTGTGGTGCGCTGCCACAATATCAGTATTGACCACCACATACTGATTTTAAATATGTAGGTTAAATCTTATTTCAGTATAGTACCGTGCATAGTGCATGTATTTGCTGAGTCCCTCAATGCCTCGCTTTCTCTCTCACACACAAAAACATGACAACCACAACGACAGACTGTCTGTGACCAGCGCTTCCTCTCCATGTTAGTTTTTTAATCAATTGCTGTCAATTGTGGAGATCCAACTATTTTAAGCTAGTAAGGCTGGCTAGGCTAACGTTTGAATACAACTGTTGCTGAGTTCAGCACGTTGTACATGGCATGGATGTATATGGGCTGCTCTAGAAGTAGATAAAGTTAATGCTAGTTCATAAACTCTGACGCTGAACATTTGCCCACCTCAGTCCAGGGTAATATCGAATAAGACGTGAGAAACCTGATCAGTCCGACCAGTGTGATTAGCGATCCCGCTGATCCATTTTGAATATTTATTAGTTTCAACCAGTGCTGCTGAGGCAGCAAGGGAGGGTAAGGAAGAGAGAGCTGAAGAGGAGGAGGGTAGCAGCCAACACACTGCTGCTGAGAGACAGGATAAGGATAATCACCTTTATTGGCCAAGTATGCTACACAAGGAATTTGTTTCCGGTACAGAACTGATGGCAGCCATCTGGGGCGCCACCTCAACCAATGGCTTTAACCATTGGGGGCAACGGGGTGGGTTCAGTGTCTTGCCCAAGGACACTTCAACACGTGGACTGCTGGCACTGAGATTCAAACCTTCAACCTTCTGGTTGGGAGATGACTGCTCTACCCACCACACCACTGTTGCCTCCCCAAAGTCAGATGAACAGCACAGAAGTAGCCTATACTGTTTGATGAGTATGAAAATGACTTGAATCATAGGGTATGGCCTTCACAGTCACCAGATCTCAACCCAGTTAAACATCTAGTGTATGGGAGATTGTGGAACAACATGTTAGTGTCTCCATGTGGAGACACAAAACCTGAGACTTTCTTTTAATTTGTCACCTGTATGTTTATATTACACAGGATGTCTGTTGTAGCAGGACAGAGCAGATACAGGAAGGTAGGAGTGAGACAAGAAGAAAAATGAATGAGAGGAATTTTATATTGAAAGGATCCCCCTTCAGTCACACACACACATTTTGTGTTGGTTCTTCCTTTAATTTCCCCTCTGGCTGTACCACCTGAGAGGTGCTGAAATGTAACTCCTCGAACGTGTCTAGAAAAGGGGTTTTTCCATTATAGAAACCCACCAAAACATGTTGCGCTGAGGAACACTCATCATGGGTTCTGTGTTTGTTTCCACTACAGTGCGCCCGCTTTGGAGGTGCGTTTTGGGAGCTAAATTTCAGCACTCCTCAGGAGGTAGTACTAAAATCAAGCACCAGGAATGCGAAGAGGAAGGGGGTGTCTGCACATAGAGCTGTCACCGGGTATCAGTTAAATGTCTGCATCTTCACATCTCAGTCACTAGCATTACAGCTGGCTGAGTGTGAGAGAGGAGCAGCCCCTCACTCCTCTAAACAGAGACAGAGAGAAAATACAGTGGAAAAACAAAGCAGGACGGTCTGCGTCAACCCTGGAGACCGTACTTGGTGATAGTTAAGGGAAGTACCGGGTCTACTGCTCGTTAGGTTCCATTAGTGGAAATGCAGCAAAAGTGAGCAGCAGACAGTGGAAACAAAGCAAAACCAAGGGGTACAAGTTCAGTTATGGGTCAGTAAATTTCTGTAGTGGAAAAGATGCATGATGACAACCACTCACCAGAGGAACTTCTTCAAGTTATTATGTTGTCATGGTGCACAGGACCACAATGTGAACACACAGTACCATGAATCTGCAAACTGAGGCACGTGATATGGGTTTTTAATAGGCCTCCACACTGGTGACTGCTGTGGCCAGAGGCATTGTGTTTTTAGGTTGTCTGTCCGTTCATCCAGCCTATTTTCATGAACGCAATATCTCGAACATTATGAGGGAACTTTTTCAAATTTGTCACAAGTGTCCACTTGGAGTCAAGGGTGAACTGGTCAGAGGTTACAATGACCTCACATCTTTTCCATTCTCGTGAATTTGACTGATTGGCGCAGGTATACAACCACAAAGTGATAATTCTAGTTTACTTTACAATGTTGATAAAAATAATGAATAAAAAACGTTGTTGAAGCTGTTCATTGTGTATGACTGCATCCATATTTTACTCTATCCCATGTCATAAATAATTGCATGCACCATAGTATGCTGCATGCATCATAAACACCAAAGCTATTCAATATTACTCTCTCTTCAAGTTCCAATAAAATGGTCCCAGTCAGTCATACCCTTGTACCTATTTTTCCTTTTCACATGTATGTGTGCCCTGCGAAGAGTGGTATCAATCTTCTTATCAAACTCTTGACAAGAAACTGAATGAGTGCATTTCCACAACTGTCTATGTCTAAATTATTCCTTTAATCACTATGACATCTGCCCATCTTTACTGAGCTGCTCAGTGGATTTGATGGTACTGGGAGGCTTCCAGTTGTGACTAAATGGATAAATACCCAACATGGTGGTTTAGAAAAGAAAAAAAAATGGTGATTATCCTGTGACAATGGATACAAGTTCATAATCCAAGGAAACAGAAGCCACTGAAGCTAACTGCCACTGCCTCAGTGTTACAATATGATGTTTACTCCTGTTGATGCTTTGTTACTTGCCAAGACAAGGCAGCTATGGGTGACTAGGGTTGACTAGCATGCTGCCACTGGTAGCAGCATACTGACCAGCTTGACACGGACTTGACAGAGTGTCATTCAGATGACCCTGCACTTTTACACTCAAGACATTTATTTTGATATCATGTTCCTTTATTTTCTAAGATAAGTCATCAGACACATTTCATACAGGGAGGTGAAAGTAATGGAGCCAAATATACATTGAAAGTGGCTGGACATCTGAACAGGCATGGCACTCAGATGAAGCTACTTAGGTTAGGATGAGAGAATGGTCGCTGTGGATTAATAAATGTCAAATGTGTGTGTGTGTGTGTGTGTGTGAGCAAGGGCTGGGGAGAATGTTTCTCTCTCACCCTCCCTGTTGCTTTTGTCTTTGCTCTTCTTCCTGACCTTTTTATTTGACCTTTGACCTTTTCCTGACTTCTGAGCCCATTTGAATTTCTGTTGGTTTTTGTGCTTCATCCCTCAGTTTCGTGTTCCACAGCCCTCTCTACATCTCAGCAAGATGATTCCACCAAACCCACCTTTGCAGCAGTGGAAGAGGGACACGCACATGACCGACACACATCGTCTCCCTGTGGTGAATGTACACAAACACACACACACACAACCTTGCAAGTGTAACACTGCAGCTCTTCAAGATGTTTTTAAAAGAGTGACACATACTGATGTCCACAAATAATTGTAGCACATTCCAATGTGGCGAATTCACTAGTTTTAGACCAGATTGGACAATATTGGTGAAGTAATAGCAGCAGCAGACAGATGTAGATCTACTTGTGTTCACCATCTACAGGCAAGGCCTTTGTGATTTTGCCTTTATGATTTCTTGCCAGTGGCCAGTTTGGCAGGTGTGGAACACATTAAAACACAAAGCAAAACATTTTTTGGTGGTGTTTTCTCTCCATTGTCTGTCTCAGCTTCAAACACACCCACAAACACAGGCATTATTCTTAGATTGTGGAAAATAGAGTGGAAATAGAATGAGAGATATCAGGCATGCATCAGATACCTACTGTACATGGACAAAATTGTTGGTACCCTTCCGTTAAAGAAAGAGAAACTCACAATGGTCACTGAAATAACGTGAAAATTTACTGAAAATTAACTAATGAAAATCAGACATTGCTTTTGAATTGTGGCTCAACAGAAGCATTTTAAAAGACAAACTAATGAAACTGGCCTGGACAAAAAATGATGGTACCCTTAACTTAATGTCATGTATGTGTGTATGTGTGTATGTGCAGTGCTAAATCTATATCTTTACAGCAATTTGAACTGACAGTATAGCACATGGATGCAAGAGAATGCTGCATATAGAAGAATTGGAATCATTTTCATAAACCTAGTGTTGTCACAATACCAGAAATTATGACTTCAATACCAAACCTGCCTAAATACTGATACTGAAATGATACTATGGCAAAAATATAATAGATAGCAGAACATGGAACTTAAAAAAGAATTTTAGCAAAATTTGTGTGCATGTGTGTGTGTGTGTGTGTGTGTGTGTGTGTGTTTTGTTTTTGCCTTTCTAGTATTGGTATTGTACATGCAGGTACAATATTATATGAATTTGTCCAGAATAGTTGAATATATATGAGCCACCCCAATCAGTTAATATTTACAGATTGTACATATTTAAATATGACCGAACATGCACCAGTTCATACAATATACAATAAACTATATTTACACTTTGCACAATTCTGATCCAGTTGTAAAACCATTAGACCATTAGCTTCAAATTTCAGTTATCTAGTAGTATAGTATCTGTAGTGGAGATGTTTAATCACCATTCTCTGATTAAAGATGTTGATGGTCTCACATTGTTTGCTCTATATATGCACATATATGCTTTTTCATATAGTATGAAATGGTCATGAACATGAAGCTGTGAGAAGTGTGCTTGCACTGTGAACACAGCTTGTGTGAAAGACCTAATCCTGACTACATTAGTCTTTGTGGAAGCTCCCAGTGCAGCAGGAACAGGCTATTGTACAGACATGAATGGAACAGCAGAGAGAGAGGAGTAAGCTATGCAGAACTTGAAGAAATGATAGAGAGAGTAGACAAGGGAGAGCGAGACAGCGGGGCAGACAGACAGCAGACAGGCACTGTAATTTATGCAGAGCTCTGCATAAATTACACTATGTCTAAGAAATGAAACAGACTACTGGACTTTGTGCCGACCTGAAGAACTCAGTGTAGTGATGTTGGGTACACATGACAAGATGTCCAGGCTCAAAAACAAAAGTACTAGGACAAACTGGTCAAACACAAGAGAATAAACTTTTTTGTCAACTAGGTTGTGGATTGCAGAGCAGAACTAACAGGACACTAACAAGAATGAAAACAAATAATGGGCTCCAATTATACCTGGCCTTTTGTAATATATGATAAAGTATTGATTTTTTAACTATATGTGAGCCTTCTGTAATTTTTTGGGCCTTTAGTTGGAATACACTTGACATATCCCCAATGTTCAGAGTGAATCTCAATCTCAACTTTTAGAAACATAATCTGACCAGGCTGATTTGAGCAAGAGCTCAAATCAGTTTAAGGCATAGAAGAATAAGATATACCAGGCTGTATTGTTAGTAGGAGACCTTCACTGACACTTTTGGTATTTTCTTGGGATTTGTTGAGTGAGAAAAACATAATATCACAAGGTTTATTCCGTAAATGAAGAGCAGATTGCACTAACTAAAAACAAAACTCCTAATTTACCCATGTCCAGTGTCTATGAATGAACATTTGAGATACCGGTTCATTAAAAAAGAAAAGGTAGATAATGTGAGATGTTCTTTTAGATCATGTTGTACAATAGGTATTTTGCTTTGTGTATTGTAGCGAGATGAATAGGAAATGTAGAGAGAGATTTTCACTGTTAGGCTGCAGGGTGTTTTATCATTCTGTGTCTCCTGTTTCTGCTTCCCACATTTTATTTTAAAGCACTGAAAACTTCAACTCAAAATGTGGTTCATCACACCTGCTGCTTATTAAATAGTGATCTGTTGAAAATTAGTTTGCAGCATACAGAGTACATCATATAACTTGGATCCTAACTCCTCACTCAGCTCACAAGTCCCACAACTCAAGTTAAGGCCGTGACACACCAAGCCAATGGTCGGCCATCAGCTGTCGGCTGGTTGGGCCTCGTTGGTGACTGGCTGTTAAGCTTAGCGAATTAATGCCTGAGAAGAGAATGGCTTGGGGAATGCCCCTTCAACCTGCTGCTGTAATATCTGTGATTTCATCCATTTAGTGCAGTTTCCCCTTGTTTTTCACCTCCACAACCCCTTTTTCTTCCACAACCAAAAGACCAAGGGCAGAGAACGGCAGCGTCATTTGCAACTTCTTATCAGACATATTCTCGATTAGAAGCAGCTATAAACAGCAGCTGTGCTGAACGAGAGGTGCTTTGTTTATAGCTTATATTTCCACTGTCCAGCTATTCTTCGTTCTCTTTCTGAATGATGACTACAGATATCGCCACCTGCTGTTAGGGGGAGTTATGTCTGTCACACTGTATGTGCTAGTTGGCCATTGGCTGTAGTCTGTGCGCTGTGTTCAAGTGCCACTTTTTCAACCAAACAAGTGCAGACAAAGCCGACGTGAGGCGACGCAGCAGTCAGCCTTCGTCGCTGTTAGTTCTTTCAGCTTGGTGTGTCGCTGCCCTAACACTGCATGCTGTTTTGACACAGAGCAGAAAAGAGTAAGACAGGGATGAAAGCGTGAGAGCAATGATATAGACGTCAAGGATGAGATTAGAAGAGTGAGAGAGCAGAATAGGGGTGGAAGAGGGACGGCGAGAGATGAAGAGCAAGAGAGTGTGAGAGGGAGAGACTGATGTGGCTAGCCAAGCAGAAAGGCTGTCCAGTCTCTACAAAAGATCTCCTCGGTCAGATTAGTATGAGAGGGCTTCTCTAACACTGCCTGTCTCTCTCTTTCCCCCTCTTGCCTCTCACTCGTCACTTGTGTGATTCTCTCACTCCAGTTCTCTCTTCTGCTTTCCCTTTTATTTGTCTTTACTTCCAGAATAATTCATTATCTTGTACAGGACAGCTACAGGTTTTCTTTTGGCATGTCACATTAACACTGATGTATTTTTACACACAAAGGTCTGCCTTGTGTGTATTTTCCCAGGCAAAGAGGACTTGTACATATAAATTACTGTGCTGTTCTGCTGCTGAATGAGTGTTTGTTAACAGGGCTTGCTTTTAAGGTTGGGAATATCATTAGTGATAATTGGTCTGTGATAGGAGCTCAGGCTGAGGAAGAAGAATACATGATGCAACTCAGAGCTGTTGTTCAGACTGAATTTTAACCATGATGGGCAGTTTCTCCATCTAGCTCTGACAATAATGTTTCATGACACCTCAGTCTCTTACTGTCCCCTGTGTAATTCTTTGTCATTTTTTTCTCCCAAGTAATCACGTCACTAAAGGCAGCACTATCCAACCACCAAAGCTTTGTGCATTGCATATCATAATATTTCACCTGTCCCTGACTTGACTTTGTCCCTTACAGTATCAGTGAAGAGCCAGTAAGAAGAACAGTGATGTGGTGAACAAGCTTAAAACACACCTTTGGGATCTAAAAAGTGTGGTTTTTAATTGCGTCTTTGTCTCTTGTTAGTCTTACTCAGTGGGTGGTTTGGGTGATGAGGACTTCAACATCCCACCCATCACTCCCCCCACCCTGCCAGACCACATGCTACCCCCCCACCTCCCCCATGAGTCCTCTGGACCGTACCACACTCTGGACCGCCCTCCTAACTCTGCTCCACACCACCCCTATCAGATGCAGGGCATGGATCTGCCTGGCATGCCTGGTAGCCAAGATGGAGCTGCTATGTTGAACCAAGATGGTGGCACATTCAGCCCAGGTGGTGGCCCAATGACCAGCACACTATCTGTGGTGAGTAGTCAGAAATAAAACACATATATTAAAGGCAATGTTGCTTTAGTATGTGATGACATGTAAATGGAAATGAGACTGCAGTAAAGTCTGGAATATGGATTCATTCACATGACATTAGACAATAATAATTTGTGGTTGATGTGCTTTTTCCATAAGAAACGTATTCTAAAAAATCTTAATTCGCATTTACTCTTCCATCAAGACAATGAAATGCAAACATGTTTTGTTTCAAAAGTTCAAATGCTGTCTCCTGCTTCATTAAAAATCCATTCACTCTGTAACCTGGAGCCTTGAGGTTTTCTACATGTCGCATATTCAGCCACGACTGGCTTCCAGACTAGTTGTGATGTCACAAATCTTAAACTGAGATTTAAGGTGAACTCAGAAAACATTTTCAATTTCAGCAGATGAAGGTGTAAACATCCTTTCAGTGTCAGACTGTTTTTTTTTTTTGGCAGCAATCGTATGTGCTGTGCCTGTACTTACAGGCGTTTGAGGAGAAATTATGTAAAAATGGTGTGAGATAGAGTTATTCATGATTGCCTTATTATTAATTTACTGGGAGCCTTTGACAGTTGTAGGGGTCTTGGAGGTAGCGGTAGCAAGAAATGTCAAGGAATGAAATGCCTGAACCCAGGAACAGTTTGACCCAGGGCACAGCCCAGCACAACTGGTATGTGGACACAAAGTGGTCTTTGGCAGGATTGTCAGAATACTCTAATGTAACCTAACAATAGTAGCAACATCACAAATGTCATAGCATCAAGGTTTCAAGGTTCAAAGATTTTTATTGTCAATTCACTATATGTGCAGGACATACAGAAAATCGAAATAGCGTTTCTGTCTCACCTAGCATTGAGTGCCATACCATTTAAGAAACTAAAATAGAATAAAGGAGACTAAAAATGGAATAAAATAGAATAAGAAGACTGGATTAAAGTAATTAGGATATAACTAAACAATACAACCTAATAGGCTATAGTATATACCTAACGGTATCACAAATACCATTGACATCACTGTGATGCTGTATTTCTTTCCTTTGAGGCTGGTTTATCCTCATTCTGAATCTTTAGCAAGACAAAAGTAAAATGAATGAAACAAAATACACTTACACAGATATACTGTTATAGACAGTCAATGCAATTTTTTTAGCATGGTGAATGGGTTGCTTTATATTTAAGAGAGTGTCCGGCATGGTTGGATAGTGTCATTCCAGTTTATCTGCATATAGTTGTCATGTTTTATGTATTTAGCATGGGACAACCACCAAAATGGCAGGACAGCAGCACGGTGGTTAGCGCTGCCACCTCACAGCAAGAAGGTTCTGGGTTTAACCCCTGGCCGACCCAGGGCCTTTCTGCATGGGGTTTGCATGTTCTCCCTGTGCCTGAATGGGTTCTCTCCGTGTACTCTGGCTTCCTCCCACAGTCCAAAGACATGCAGCTTAGGTTGACCGGTGACTCTAAGTGGCCCCTTAGGACAGAGAATGTGTGTATGGTTGTTTGCCTACATGTCAGCCCTGTGATAGACTGGCAACCTGTCCAGGATTTGTGTGGTTTAAACATCTGACTGTGGAGATTATGCCTCATTTAAACACAGCAGAGAGAAAAAACAGACATGAAGCATAAAAACACGAGGGTTCTAGGGAAACGCTCGTCTCTCAGATTCAGTGTGGATTGACTCATTTGATATAATGGAATTCTATCTGCAGCGTCAGATGCGTGTAGAAAACACTTTACCAGTAACTTAACAACTGCTCCTCCCCGGCACTGAGGAAACTGCACACTTTATAGCCAGCAGATTTATTCTAGGGTGGACCATCCTTTTGTGTCTTGCTCAAACATACTGTGATTTACTTATGTCAGCAGGTCTGAAGATTTGAACTGACAGCCACCTTCCCACTGAAGTGAATGGGAAAGTTTGTCCAGGCTTTTGACTGGTATTTTAACTATATGAAATAGAATAATGCCTGGGGCAGTGTTATTTGAAAGCCAAGCAGGGCAGCTGGTCATTGTGACCATATCTTCATATTTTACAGTAAGTTTTCATTTCACAGTAAATTGAAATCTTGCTCTTAGCTGTGACATTCAGATGTGACTGATTGTGTCAAACAGCAAATAAATGAAAGCCAGACTTGAGGTTTGCATTTACTGTGATAGAAACTGGGTATGCAGTGGGGTGACAGAAGTGTCAGTATGTGTCACTGTCTGTAATAAGCTCCCATTTTATTAAGAATGAAACTCTCGCCTCTAACTCTAACTCATCTGTCAGTCTTTGTCTCTCATCCCCATATTAAATCTCTGTAATATCAAGTGTCAGTTTGAAGCCTCACGGTAGCTCTCAGCCCTGACTGTTGGTGAATTAGAATGACTATTAAAGATCATGTTTTAATGACTTTTAATTAAAATCAGATATTTGTAACCTTAATTGTGCTAATGCATCTGTTAACTGTGTAGCACTGCATATCATGGCTTTAAAGAGCTGAAGGAAAAGTCTTATTTGCCATCATTGTCTGTCTCAGTCCTACTTTCTCTCTCCTGCTCACTTTTATATTCTCATGCTAACATACATTTACTGCCAGTCTATGAATTATGGTTGCCTAGCAACTATGCCTGGCTCAACCTTAACGTGGTGGATGGGGGCTATAAAGATTCAAATCACTGTGTGTGTGGTGTGTGTGCATTATTCCTTTATTCCTAGAGAAGGCAACTACTCAGTTGCAGTTAATATTGAAATATTGAGATCTGGATTTATTTTGTGGCTGCCCTCTGATTAAAGGTTGACTGTCTAAAGTTATTAGTTTAGGAAAGTTCTTTTTTTTTGTTTCTATTAGTGATTTGTTCTGACAGGGTTCAAACTTATAACCTGTAATTTTTGCAAGTGTTTATTTTTTTCAGCTACTAGGTAATATAATCACGATTCAATATTTAATCATTTCACAAGTAATTTTCTAATCTGAACATGTTGTGCTGAGTTAATTTTCAAACTGCAGCAACCACAGCTGGTTTTAAACAAACAGACAAACTGAGTATTAGCATGAGCAGTATGGATGGACAGCGTACCATCCTACAGAAACACAAAAATCATGAAGAGAAAATCCAGGGACACCAATATATTATGTAAGTGTTACGCTGAAGTCTTTGCTTCCACGGTAGAAAAAAATCGATCAAATCAGTCATTTAATCAAGCACCTCGGTGACTCACAGGAACCCTGTAAACCAGGCGTGGCCAATCCCGGGCCTTGAGGGCCACTGCTCTGCTTATTTTCCCACTATCTCTGCCCTATCCAGTGCTGATTACCTGGATCAGGTGTGTTCAGTCAATCAGGAGCTGGAAGATACCAACTGACTTCATCTTTCCTCACTCCACCTTTATCTAAGATGGTATCATCCAGTTTCTAATATACTGAACACACCTGATATGGATAATCAGCAGTGGCAGCGGCCCTCGAGGACTGGCCACCCCTGCTGTAAAACAACAAGGCTATGGTTATATTGTTGAGTGAAGTACTGGTGACTTAATTTAGCAGCTGCTAAAAAACATAGATTATAACTATGGCTGAAAAATAACCAGCATATCTTAGTCCATATTATTACTAAGTGTTTGTTCACCTCCATAGAGAGAACATGGATTAGGGATGGAAGATAAAACTCAGGGAGGGACAGCTGAGGAGAGAGGGGATAAGTGTTCAGCCAGACGCCCCCCAAACCTATTGATCCACAGGAAACACTGCTTGTAATTTGATATTTACCATGATTTTGTTATGCCCTTTATATCAAGTTTACAATCCCTGTAATATCTCTAATTAGGCCATGTTGGCAATATTGTAGATCAGTGAGCAGGACTTTAATGGAAATAGTCAATTTAGAGAGCAGTTGTGTCAGTGTTATGAAGAACATCGATATTACAAATGTTCCTTTTTTAAAGCAGTTTTTTGGTCACGTTTGCCTTTATTTTCTGTAAGTGGGTTGTGGAGAGGAGGACAGGAAACAAGGGAGACAGAGGAGCGTACCTGCAACATCTCACACGCAGTGTGATTTTTCATTTTAAAACTACTCAGCTGCAGTATTGTATCAATTTAATTTATAATAATAGTCAACTTGGCAAAACTTGCATGGGGTTTTTGAGTCATAATTGAGTTGGTGTATGTTCTTGTGTAATCATGGTAAAATGACAAACAAAATTTAAAAGAAATTGCAGGTTTTGTCCTCTGTGTGCTCAAAATAACAGATTCTGAATTTTGTTGCTGTACTTTTCATATTGAAATCCCATCACTAGCCACACCAGTGTGAAGATGTGATGACTAAGCTCACATCACGACTCTTCCCCTCTTGTGACATGAGTCAGTCATTACTCAGCTATGAGGGGCCCCCCCTCTGTTTTAATCTTATACCATCATTAGAATTTTTCCTCTGACCCCAGAAGGAAAATTCATTGTATTTCTTTTCCATTGCTAACGTGTCTAGTTCTGAAAGTGTGTTTGATTTGTGATGATGTTAGACCCTACATGGTGTTATGTGACCCTGTGACCTCTTATTACTGTAACAGGCACTGCTACTGATGTGATGTCAGTGCAAATTCTCAGTCGTCCAGGTCATAGTAAGCTGATGAAGTTCTGATTAAGAACTGATGAAGCCTCTTAGATGAGAGGTGAAACGTCTTTTATCTAAAAACCAAGTCCAGATGATTGTTTTCTGTGTTTTTCAGCCTACTGATGAGATGTTACTATACCACATAAACTGGTGAAAATAAGGCCAGAAATACCTCCTTTCTGTTTCTTACATTTGCTCCTCTGTATTTTCCTTAGTTTTAATTTGTTAAATAAACATTTTTTCTTTTATATTTGTAATTTTTGTGAAGTTAGCTTTGTTTTTTAATATTCAAAGTTTCTCTCTGTCTTCTTCATCCAGGCAATAATCCTATAATATAAAGTCATGTTAATGTAACATATTTATATAACTATATAAATATTTTTTTCGTTAACTGTACTAAACGTTTTTCTGTATAACACTGAGATGTTTTTCATTCATTGTCAGTAACTCAGCTTGGTCCTCAGGTCTTCAGACAGCTCATTTTTAAACTGTTTCATGTAATAGAGGTGAGCCACTAAAGGCTTTCTGGAGAATTATTACAAGAATATTTTTGACTGTTTAGTCCCAACACAACCAATGCCAAACCACAGGTTGTATTTTTCAGCATTCTACCAGCACATGCGTCAATCTGAAACCTCTTCCCATGTTAGAGAAATTTCGCTCTGTGTTCCATTGAGATACCACAGCAGTAGACGGAGCTTGCTGCCGGTAATCGAGTTCAGGTAATGTGTTCTCAACAGGGCACAGCAGACCACATCCTTTACCATTCTATGCTTACTAAGAGGAAACTGTAAATACATACTATCATCTGAGTTCCATTTGTGATGAGAGGTGTCAAAGGTCCCATGCTGAGTGTGAAGTATTAATAATAATAACTGTTTTTCCAAGAAATGGACAGAATACCAAACCTGACTGCTTGCATTTTGGCAATGCAGTTAAGAATCAACTACACTAATCATTGGTGATTAATGGACAGGGCTCATGAAAAAGAAGGATCACATACCAAAATACCACAAAATAACATTGGTACACTTGTTCAAAAGTCACAGAATAAATGCTTTGATGCTTCTTGCCTAATGGCACTGAAGCTACTGTCTTTAAACTATTAACATTAATGAAAATGTGTAGGATGCCCCTCACTTGAACTGACTGTATACAGATTTAACCGGGCATGCTGACACTGTATTTCTCTATATCCTGCAGTAAATTGACAAAGTTCTGACAAATTATCGAGGACCTAAATGCACAAAGGAAAAAGCCCATTCTTATATCTATTCAGCCTGCACCTGTGGACATCATAACAACTCCTGTAGACAAAGTTATGCCACAGCTTCTCTGCAGTGTAGCAAATGGAGTTTAAAATCGGATTTAATTACATGAGTGGAAATCGATATTTTAAGCAACTTCTGATCCTGTTTTCCTTCTGAACTGTATTACCTGTTGCCATGGTTACTATCAACTTTCATTCAATTCAGATAACCCCTAGGGGAATTTATTAGTGAATCCTGGACTGCTGCATGCTGTTTCAGACCCCAGCTAGGCCTGTTACATGAACATGTTATGCAGCTCGGATACTGTTTCACCACACCGTCTGTTCAGTCCAATATGGAATCTAGGACATGAATCAGACTCAGGATTCATTCATTGGAGTCATGTGTCAGGATCTCTTATTCAGCTCTGTTTTGTACTCCATCACCTCTTCAGAGGCTCTTGAACTCACTTCGTCTGCCTGCTGTTTAGTGCTGGACAGGTATCGTCCTGGGGGTTTATCAGAGCTTAAAACAGCCATTGGAAGGAGGATGATGAGAGCACCAGAGACTGAACCATAACAGCAATTATTAATATAAAAGTATTGATTAGTGCAGATTAGACAGACAGAGCAGCTGTCGAGCGACTTTTCATGTTTTAGAATATTTTGACTAACAGGGCACAAAAGACCTGAAAGGCACATATCATATCCTGATGCCAAAATATGTAGTAGAGTTTCCCTGTACATTACTGAATGTTGTATTTTTTTTTTTAAATTACACCTTTAATAAAAGCAAGTTTGATTTAGTAGGTTTTACTTTTTGCAGTGCAATTAATTTCATAATTATAACACAGAACAATACATGCATATTATGCAGTACGCCATGAACATGATGTGACATGATTCTACAATACTAAAGGGATTAACCTGAATCAAATATAAACGCTGTGTATAGGGACACCTCACAGCAAAGCACTGTGTGCTGCCTACCATTGTTAAACCAATGGTAGAGAACAGCATACAGAAAACTGCAGAGGCAATCTGAGCTTTTCATTGGTCTGCAGGTATTGTACAGTACCCACATAAATGATTTAGGTAAATATTGTACACATAGGGGGTTAAATACAATTTTCTGAGTCATTTTAAACTTGGTGAAACTGACACTGAGGCAGTGTCAGTTTGGCACTGGCGGTAACAACAGTAGAAAAAACACAAAAGAAAATTGAAGCTAAAAATGGGTCAGACTCTTGGTACAGTTTGGTGGTTTCATGGTTGTCATTTACCTCATCCAGGCCAGACACTGGATCAGTGGGACACAACTCATCCAAATGAATGACAAGTGTCCACCTCAGAATCTGACTAGCTGAGGGGTAGTACCATATTTAACTTTCCTGCTGCAAAATGAATATGTTGTAGCTTTAAAGTTGACTAAGAAGAGGCACCACAGGGAAAGTTCTGTTTCATTTCATGTCTTTTTTGGAGAACAGCTTATAGGATATTACCAGTTTTGTCTAAAATTGTAAGCCTCCCACTACCTCATCCCACAGTTGAATTGTTATGTACTGATGTAAATCCTAATGTCAAACGGGAATATTCTGTAGCTAATGGTTGAACACCCATCAAGTCATCAAATTCATTAACTGTCATTATGGCTTGTTGTCTTTGTACAGATGCAGCAGATGGTGAACTCTGATTCTCGGTTTACCAGCAGCCAGCAGCCAATTGAAGCGGCCCTTGGGCCTCGGGGCCAGTCAGGCTTGAGCCAACAAAGTCAGTTGTCCACCATCAACCAATCCCAGCTGGGGCTAAGTGGGAACTCTGTTAACCATAATTCTCCTTCATCTCCTGGAAGTAAATCTGCCACACCGTCTCCTTCCAGTTCAGCACACGAGGAGGAGAACGATGATGGACTCAGGGTAAAAAACACACACACATACTGTATCTCCTGTCGCTATGAGTCACTGAGTCATAACTCGCTTAGCTGTAACAGCCATTTCTTTTGCTGTATGTTTTGTGTGCATGCGTGCATGACTGTGTGTAGACAGTGAAGAGTTGTTGTGGTAATGTTATGCATCATAATATATCCATTCTCCCTGCATATCAACTAGATGGAAATAAGCTCACGCATTGTTAGGTGTCTCACACTGAAACAAGTAGTCTGCACCAAAATGACTACTCACTTGAAACCATTATGGTACTGCTGAATCATATTTACCAACTTTATTACTCTTCTTGATTATGTAGAGCACAATGAGCTGTAGATAGGCCACTGTTAGACTTTGGTTCTTCTTACCATTGCTAACTCTGAGAGACGAGACAGTCCAAGTAACTACAAAACAGTGCTGATTTATTCAAAGGATCACAGGTAAAATTAACATTACACGCTCAGGTATCTTCCACCTCCAAACTGCTCACAGGCAGATGTAAGATGAAAGACCCTGAACCCACCAGGCCTATACATTATATCCCCTCGGTTGGGCTAGCCCCATACTACACAGAAACGTCAACCGAGACGTCTCTGTTACCAGCTTTGCAGCTGGTCATAGCAGTAGTCAAAACATGAAGCAAATCAATGTGTGTGTGGCTGTTGATTAAGTGGTGTGTAACTAAAAACATTCTCACGACCTCTAGTAACATGTCGTGACTTAAACATAAGAACATATTATGGCTAAGGCTACAGTTCTACACGTCATAATAATAATATTAAACACCCTGTCTGCTGACAGTCATCAACTCTTCTCTCTAGTTATCCTTGACCAGATGTACCCTGTAGAAACTCATAAGCATGACTAAGCATTTAACAGTCTAACTAGACATCCTATCTCCACTAAACATTTCAAATACATAAAGTATCTATCTAATTTCTATCTGACTAAAAATACCTAACACCACACTGTAACACAGATAAAACTAGCTTTAGGAAGGATAGGAAACAGGAAACAAAAATGCTTTGACCTTTACAACACATTCCTACATGTCTAAACAATAGCTGCTACACACAGCATGCACTCATAGTGTTAGCTCTGCTCACTTCACTTATGTATGTAGTCCTGTTATTCTACCCACTAGTCTTTAGAAATGATTAGTACATTTGCCCTTTCAACTGATAATTTAAAGGGCTTTGCACAGGGCAGGGGTTTGCACAAAAGCAACATTTAAGAACAGGATGAAGAGGCAAATAAAATAAATGTAAAGGTTATAAAATGCAAATAGACAAAAATAATGGAAAGTTTCCTGAAATGTATTAATTAAAAAGATACATTTAGATTTGAAAGTTGATAAAGTTGAGGCTGATTTAAAAGCCCAGAAACTATATTGTATTGTAACTCATCAACTTGTTCCTAAAAGTGATGTGTTCATGTAGGAACACATCATTTTTAGGGTAACACAACAGATTTTAGGATTACACAACTGTTTACGCAATAGATCCGATTATTTCATGTGATTTCTGTATTATCGTTTCTCTCTGTGCATCACTCAGAATTTTGAAACTGTTCATTCAAAATCTCATGGCAGTTGTTGGTTTGCTGCTTCTGTAGGCAGTCGACACTCAGTCAAATCTGATTAAACCAAACCCATGCAGTCCTGATAGAACAGATAAGCTGGAGTTTTCAGGCTATTTAAGTGAATATTTGAAGAAAAGGTTTTCAGGAGCATACAAACAAAAAACTATTAAGGTTACAGAAAAGCATATCTATTATTTCCTAAACATTTCTTGAAGGTTTCTTGTTAAGAGCTATGTAATTTAGTTTTAACTATAGGACAAAAAACAGCTGTTAATTTCTAGAGAAATATAAGAAAAATATTATTATAATTTCTTATCATTTATTATTGTCAACTTTATTTTTTTGTTTATAGACACATTTCACATTTCTGTTTGTGGAGCACTGACTAAAGGACAAGCTTGACATTTGATTGTAGTTAATGAATTGGTATTGAGTGTACCAGTTGAATTTGTATCTTTTATCTGTAAATTGTACCAAATTACATTGAGCATTTGAGAAAACATTCTGTGAAATTGTTAAGAAATTTTTTAATTCGTTTTACAGACCCATAAAATAAAGTGTTACCAAATGTTTACATCAGCTGTCCTACCTGTCACTTCAGACCTCAGGATATTTTTAAAATATATGACCCTCTAACTTCAATAATTATGTATTAGTTGCAAGTGCTGTCTGAATGTGTCTGAGCAGAATAGCACCCACTGCAGACCTGCTGCTTTTACTGTGGTCTCATGTACAGACCACTTAGTGCACGGCACAGCTTATTTTTAACTACTCATCTGAGAACAGTCATCGGTACTGATGACTAGTGGGGAGTTCCCCTGTAGTTCATCTCTGTGGTTCACATCAAACAGGAATGAAACTACCAGACATTTTAGTTTTATACCACTATGTTGGTTTTTATACATTTTTGCTACAAAATTTCAACTCCACCCCACTGCCCATCTAGATATCCATCCATCCACACTCCTAGTGCTGTGTGTCCGACTTAACCTCCTTCTTCTCCTCTTAGCATGGCAGTGGAGCAGAGAAGCGGCCAGCAACAGTGGAAATGTCTAAGAAACCCAAAACGCCAAAGAAGAAGAAGCGAAAGGACCCCAATGAGCCAGTGAAACCTGTGTCTGCCTATGCGTTGTTCTTCAGAGACACCCAGGCCAACATCAAGGCACAGAATCCCAATGCCACCTTTGGTGAGGTGTCAAAGATTGTGGCCTCCATGTGGGACGGCCTGGGAGAAGAACAGAAACAGGCAGGCCCTACTTCTTTAATCCAGCTTGTGTGTGATATGCCTTTCTGCTAGCCCACCACTGTTGCTGATCACATTCTCTTAGGAAAATATAAATATAGCAGTAATATACTAAAGGTACAGTTTGATGCTCTTTAGCAAATGTTGCAGCCTGAGTACCGGTAATACTGTATCAGGGAGGGACAACAAGCGGAAGAAGGGGAAGATCAGATCTAACAATAGAACTGAGTCTACCAGTCAAATCAGTGTTTGGTGAATTTGGTGAGTCAGGTTAGTTTAACAAAGATCTGTTTCAAAGAAGAATGCTATTAGGGGCCTTGGGAATTCATTATTAGTGTTGTGTGTTCCTTGGTAAATGAGTCAGCTGAGGGAAACTCTATGAGCCCCATGCAGAAGTTCATTTTCAAATACTGTTGTAATAAAGGTTGATAGTTCATTAGTTTTGTAGAGAAGTAAAATGTTTGTGTTTCAGGTGTACAAGAAGAAGACAGAGACTGCTAAGAAGGATTATCTGAAACAACTGGCTGCCTACAGAGCCAGCCTGGTCTCACAGGTACAACACACACACACAATTATGTTTCCATCATTTCAATGTACTTTACATTGACATATTATTTTCCTGGAGACTCAGAGTTACAAGAAACATTGGCTGAAATCTTCCACCTCGAAATGGGATAACCCTTCAAGAGTTCTATGCATCATCATGCTTTTTCTTGTTTTCTGACTTATCTAGAATGTTACAACGGTGAATTATCAATTTCAACGTGACCCAATGTTCAAAAAATGAGGTGTGCATATGTTCTAGTACTTCCATGCAGAAACAACTCGGTTAATACACGTCCCGCAAACTCTCGCTTGTGAGACTTTTGCTAACAAAATAAAGTATTAAGTGATAGTTTAAGGATTTCCTTGAATGGCCATAATCTCCAGGCAGTTGTGCATTCATGTGAGCTTGCCTGACATCCACTGGTGCCATTGTAAAAGTGGGATATTTTAACTGCAAACAGTTTTGTTTGTATATTTTACCTCCTGCTGCTGCACTGTGACCAGAGGATGTGGAGAAAAATACAGAGCCTGAGGTTACTGCATGTCCATGTACAGGGACTTGCTGTTTTACCTGACTGAGTCTAACCTACAAGCAGCTGGCCAGTGAAGCCCCCGCAGCAGTTAATGATCAGCTCATCAATGCTGGATTCCCATGGAGCACTGTACCTGTTTGTCTTGACTGTTTGAGGCCAGTGTGTCTGATGCATGTGATGTGTTGCTGGTTAAGGAGAGAGTTAACGATCCATGATGTTATTGTCAGTGCTACGCTACCTGTTGGAATTAATTTGACTAATTTGGGAATGTGGTTGCCTGTAACGCGGCAGTCACTGGTTGGATTTACCAACCTTGAAGTTTCCACTACTCAATGGGACTTAATAGTACGTTTATCAAACCACACACATGGCATGCCTGTTAATGCTTTGTTTCTCTTTAGAGTGTTATAGATCTCTTTTCATTGGTACATATACCATTGTTTACCTATCTATGGAGGAGCAGTTCATATTAATTAAATCCTTTGTGGTTCATTGTGCTGTCCACTTTCATATTCTGGCTCAAAAATGTCAGGTAGGTTTTGAGGTGTTGCGTTGTTGAAAACGTAGCTTATTTTTCAGTGTTTTCTGTTTCTGCATTGTCCTGGCTTCCTGACGGGTCTTGTGAAAAGCGCCCCCCCGTTGAGATGTGTTTCCCCTGTTCAAAACTCTGTTTCATGTACCCTTCATTTGAAGAACTGTGTAGCCCGACCACTTCGACCTACCCCTCCATCCTATAGGGAATCAAGACACCCCTACTTCTACACATGAATGTGCACACAGAGGGGTAGGGCTAAGTGATGGGGGAATCGGGTTCGGCCATTGATCTGACCTTAAACCAAGTCATCACTCTGATAATTCAAGTTATTAGTATTACGCTGATGCCTTAAACGTGTAAACAGGTCATTCTACAAACCTGCAAAATGATTTTCTGTTGTACTTTTTCTCACTGTCCAGACTTACAGTGACCCACCGGAAATGAAGCCGCCCCTTTCCTCCTCCTCGCCTTCTTCTTCCTCCTCTGCCTCAGTGTTTACACCCAAACCTTCTGTCTACCCTGGTCACCCAGGTCAGCACTCCCCCAGCCACTCTCACCCTCGCCCACCCCCTCAGCATCTAGGCATGTACAGGCCGTACCCTCACCCGCAACATCCTTCCCATACCTCAAACCCTAGCCTCGGCCCCCATCTGCCCCCTCCCCACACCCAGATCCACCCCCAGCTCCAGGCTCTGTCCTCCCGAGAGACCGTGCCACGGCCTGCTATCCCCCACCAAAGAGCTCTGACCCTGAGCAATGTGGCAGCAGCGTCCACCCCTCCTCTTCAGATCAGCCCCCCCCTCCACAGCCAGGCACACTTGGGAGGATTGCACAATTCACACCATCAGCACCAGCAACTCAGTGTACATTCACTGGGAATGACACACTCCCCTGGCATCACACAGGTCAGTTACACAATGAATCTCTAACTTCACTTGTGTTTACATATACACCCTCAGTCTGCTCAATTCCTCAAGGTAACTTACTGATTTAGAAGCTGCACAGAGATGGATGGAGACGGATGGATATCTCAGCAGTGGAGACAAAACACCCACACACACAGGGCAAATAGGATGGGTGTTAGGAGAATAAAGCTGTACTGAATGAAGCTGAATAAAATGGATGTGGTAGGTAACAAATGAAGCCTATCCTAAATACTGTATTAATCATAATTATGCAGTCATCTTGACATTTGCTCTTGTTGTTAGTTGATCTAAAATAGATGTGTGGTAACAGACAGACAACTGGAACTATTTTAGATGTTGAATAAAGAACAATCAAAAATTCAAACAACAACCAAAACAAAATTCATTTTTATTTATAGAAATATTTGGTTAAATTTAGGTTACAGACTGTTTACTGTTTCTGTCTGTTTCCCCTCTACTTACTCTTTATGTAATAGTCAGTCAGTCAGCACCTCTGCCTCTGTGTCTTTTTATGTTGATCAAGACAAGAGGAAGAGGAGGAAAGTGGTTGTGAAAGGATTTTAAATGTGAACTTGTATTAAGTCCAGCATGAGACAGTAGTGTCTCCTCCAAATAGTAAAGAAATAGGGGATGGATTTCCACTGCATCTCACTTCCCATTTTATCCCTCTTTCTATAGTGCACTGTTAAATCCCACACTCCCATAATCCCCTTTCTGTCCTCCGTTTTGCATATTCTTAGTCAAAGAAAAAAGGGAGAGAGAGCAGACCAAATCAAAAAATGAGAGGACATGGTGACAGAGCTCCAAACTTTTTTTTTCTGAGCAAAGAGTGGGAAATGACGGGGGAAGGGAGAAAGTGAGAGAGAGAGAGAGAGAGAGAGAGAGAGAGACAAAAGAGGCAGATGGGGTCTTTGTGAAGGAGTGAAGGAGAAGAATTTGCTCAACAATGGATGAATAGGTGAGGTAGAGGACGGGGGAGGGGGAGAGCCCAACCACCTGCTGTCCTCCTCTTTCTCATTTTTCACTCAACACTCAGACAAACTGCCCTCTCTGCCCCCCCCCCCCCCCCACACACACACACACACACACACACACACACACACACTTGCCCTTTTTGTCACTGCACTTGCTCATTTTTCCCTTTTCCCTTTCTCTCTCCTCTGTCAAGCAACGTATGGCTCGAGACATGCTCACTACGGTTTCCCTCTTCTTTTCCTCTTCCTCCCCTGCTTCCTCCTCTCCTCTTTCCTTTTCATCTTCACTTTTCCCCAGCTCTTTTCCTCTCTCCTGGCAGATGATAACATCAGCAGACACTCAGAACTCTGTAATCACTGCTGATGAACCTGCAACTGATCTGTTTCCTTTCCACTTGAATTGCATTCATGACTTCATTCATATCGCTCTTCATCAGAAGCCATTTTCCTAAAGAAGCGCAAGAGGTTGGTTTGCAAAACCCCTCAGCTGTCTATAGACCGATCCAGGTTGAAGGAGAAAGTAAACAAGCCACCATTACTGCACAAGACATCTCACTTTTAAACTTGCAGTAACACTGTGATGGATGTAAAGGATTTTACCCGTTCTTCTTTCTTACTTCCTACTTTCTCATTTTGGAAGTCTCACACTTTGTGTTTACAGTTTGACAAATTTGCATCAATAAAAGTATGACAAATTATTAACAGTTATGGTTTGTATGTACCCGATGATGTGCAGATCACTCTCACTGAATCACACTGCTATTGAAGAAAGTCTTGGAGTTAGTTATAAGGAGCATCTTTTTTCAGTGATTTCTAAGTTGAATCATTGGTTTCACAAAGTTACACAAATGTTCACCAATGCCCTGGTATGTTGTTTACGTACCCAGATTTTTCTCCTCCATCCAATTTATGTGCCACTCTTTAAATTCCAGGGCTACCCTTCCTCCCTCCAGTCTGAGTACCAGCCAGTGGGAGGGGCTATGCTTAACAGTGGAGCAGTGATGTCAGCACCTGTGGACTACCACCAGCTGGGTCGACACACACCAAACCACCACCCCTCTCTGGACTGGAGCATTGATTACCATGGCAATGGGTAGGTTTTAGTCTTTGACCATTACAGGTTTTCATAGAATACTGTAAGTTAACACCCCCTGGATATCTTATTTTTGCTGACCTCCAGTGGTTCAACTTCTCACCTTGCTGTTACAGTGATGTGCTTGACACTTTCAACCAGAGAGGGCAGCAAAACTCTGCTTTTCACTCTGGTGTTTCCTAGTTAGTTCTGCCCCTGAATTATTTGGTTGTTTAGGTAGAACAGCTGCTGGAGCCCAGAATACTACCATTAATAAACAAAGCAAGCTCTATTACTAGGCTTTTGCCTTTGTGACAGTGTTAAGGAGGGTTTGAACCCAGACCCCTCTTCTGGTCACACCCCCGCTTGTGTGCACTGTCATGAAAATGTATCATTAAATTTAGTCAAGGGTTTCTCAGGTTATGGGTTTTCCAAACTCTTCAATGTACTCTTCAAGCTGCATCACTCAGTTGCAAGAAGTATTACCCTCATATCAAAAACAATCTGCCCCATATATGGAAATAATGGGACATATGGCAGACACAGTGAGCATCTCTGTATTGCTGAGTGTGGCTTATTGCATTTATTTTCTGTCTCCTCTCTGCTTCCAGAGGTCTTCAGAGAGACAAACCTCTGTATCTGAGCTAATCTCAGTTGAAAATGCCATCAAGCCTTTACCAAGCCCTTGTACTGACACACCATGGAAACCTCCAGGCCAAGCCTAGTCTGACTTTAACCCAAGGAGGACTCAGCCAACCAGGAGATCACCTTAACCTGAAGTGAACTTCACTTTGCATTCTACAAAAACCTAAGCAATTTAGTGCATATTAATACCCTGCCTGTTCTGAAGGACAGCAGGACAGTGTTATGACCTGATAACATCTGTTATTAGTAGCATTTTTCTACTGCTCAGCTACTGCTATGGCATGAATAGAAACTGTTTCCTAGTGAGGAGAGCTGAGCAGGCCCTGTGCTACGATTCATGCTAATAAGTGTATATACTCCAAAAGGGACATTATGTCCAGATTCCCATTTGGCCCAACAATTCTATTTCTGGTTTCTCATTTGGTAAAGATGGTGTTTACCATCATTTCCAAAAGGCTCTGGAGAGCAGGTGTACTGTAACATAATTATTTGAGCTGCCAGTACCTGATGCTTTTTTATTTCAACTCATAATCAGTGTATCCTTCTACAACCCAAGCAGAGGAGCACAGCTCACAAAGGAAGGGTTCATAACCAAACAGATTGTCACAAATTGTGTTTCCCTGATGTGTCTTTTATTATGTGAATATAAGCCTTCAGTCTGATGCAGCAGCATGAGTTGAATTCCAACACACGATGATGTGTTTGTGAACAGAACGCAGTGTTGTTGAACAACACAGTGAGAAAGACTGAATTCACACTGTGTTGGTCAGTTAAGGAGGTGGAACTGCACCTGTAGCTGTTTTTTTTTTAACCAGATGCCAACTGTGAATAATTATGTACAATTAAAGAACTTTCATTGTTCTCTTGCAGTGAGGCTCAGATCAGTAGGATAGAAATCCAATGTATTTTAGACCCTAAAATAATGAAATGTGAAAAAACTCTTAAATAAAAATACTCCTTTGTATAATGACAGCTCATCTTCCTGGCATATGTATGTTGATAATGTTAATTTGGATCCAAATTCTGTGTGTGTGTGTGTGTGTGTGTGTGATTGATTGGGTCACATGGTCTGTTTTGTCACTTCTATTTCTCTGTGTTCAGAAGATATTTAAGGAACTATTACTGTCACTGGGTTATTTTCTGTTTTTTCATCAAATCAAGTTTTGTTTTAGTATTAATGATCATGATGAGAGACATATCTCTCTCAAACTGTATCTCTTTGTATTTAAGTGTTTTGGCAGATGAAAAGACTGGGCAACAACAACCATGAAGATTTTCTTATTTTTAGATTTTAATAATGTATTTGAGAATAAAGTAAATGCTGCATTCATTTGCAGGCATTACATCAAAACCTGCCTCTTTTATGCTGTTTATTTTGGAACTGTTTGTGACAGCTGCTTCAATTAACTGCACATAATAATGTCCATCGTCACCACCGCTGTGACACACTTCACCTTTTGTCTAGTTCTTGGTTTTTGCATCTATGCAAATTAGCCAAATGTCTTTGAAGTCTTGGAAAATGTGTATTTTTAAGCTCAGGTCTTCTTGTAGCTGTTTTAACAGATATTTCATCACAGTGGTACAGACATGTGGCTCTACTAGAGATGGAAATGCCATTCCATTCATTCTACCACTTTGGTCCAAACTGAAACACTTTTGCATTGATTTAAATTTTGTCTCAATATTTAAGGCCTGTAGAAGAAGTGTCCATCTGACTCTCGTGATCCTCAGTGGTAGTAGTATTAATGTTTTGATCCTCCAATTTTTCATTATAATGACAAATTGAGACAATAGGTCCAAAGTGAGATGGTGAACGTAGTTAACTGTGAAACATCAGTTTACTGTGAGCATGACTGCTTTGCCAGTAGAGGTGGCTTCTTTGTTTATGACACATAAAGCAGGATAGCCCTCATTGTGCTTTTCACTACTCAATAAAAAGATTTTCCAAGTTGTGTATCCATGTCCTTACATAGTACAACAAATGTACCCAAATGACACACTATATTATGTCCGTCCAATTTATAGAAAACCAGAAGAATGTAAAAGTGTATGAAAATAGAAATTAATTAAAAGTAGTATTATGAGTTAATCTAGTCAGTATTTTTCATATTAACAATGGAGAAAATGTGTGATATGAAAGCAGTTCATACCCACAGCTCACTGGATTGATTTTATTGTCCACAGCCTTACTGTTTTGGTTCGCTCTCACAGCTCTCACCAATGTCATTTCCAGCAGCAACAGCAGCTGTACTCCATCAAAAGCTCTGAGAAACCCACTGTGTGCACCCTGCCCAACACCAAACACCAGAGAGTGCAACTAGCTGGTGAGCACAGTGGAGCATTGTGCAGTTAGTGGAGATCAAAACCAACTACAACAACGGCACTCAGAGCATATGTACCTTCGTCAAGGCACAACATTTGCTCACGCAAATACTGTAGGTTCCATGAGATCAAGAACAACACAAAATGGGTCCTAAAATCCTTGATCCGGATCGGATCCAGATCACCTTTTAAGGTATGATAGGCACTTATACTATGCATCTTACCTGAACATGTCAGGGCTCTATCTTCATTATAGGCCAAGTTGTGGCAGAAAACGTGTTAAATGGGGTTTTCGGTGTTAACTTTAAATGGCCATCAGATCCGGAATCCAGATGAAATTTGGTCTGGTGACAGGCATTGCCACCTGACATATGTGTGTCAAATTTCAAACAAAATGATTTTGATCCTTTTTGAAATTTTTAAAATTTTGCTCCATGTTGAAATTAGGAATTTTTTGTGATTCTTGTGACCTTGACCTTTGACCTTTTTCAGCCAATCGCCTCTAGAGTTGGTCCCCTCCAATGTCTGTACCAACTATGCTGATGATCGACCCACTTGTTTGTCTGTAATCATTCTAACTAACAAACACACATGGAACCAAAAACATTACTTCCTTGGTGGAGGTAACCAGAGTAAATAATGGGCAGACATTCATCAGATGGTCACACAACATACACCTCCAGGTCTGTGTCTGTGTAAATAGTAAATGGGCAATTGTTGTGACATTCATCTTAAAGAGTTCCGATCCCTAGTGGTCAGAAAACCAGTTAACTGTACTTTATTATGGACAAATATAAATGCTAAAACTTCTAATTTCACTTCATCTTATATATAGACAGTTCTGTGAATCAAATATAATATAATGGTATTAGACCAGATCCAACTGTGTTTCTTTTTAATATTACTTATACTGTATATTTTTTCTAATATGAACAAGTTCCATGTCGTTTTTCTAAGTGGATCTGTTTTAACACAGCAGTCTGATTATCATCACAGTCGGGAGTAAAGCAAAACCTCGAGCTCCACAAGGTGAAAAGGTTTTCTGATTTTCCCATGTGGCAGCAGAATTGTTTAAGAGTTTGGAAGGCAGTACCAGATGTCAAAAATTGATTTCATTTTATTCACCATTTTAAACAGATTAACCTATTTAAAAGGTTAAAGGAGATTTTTAAGAATTCCAGAGATTACTGTCTACTTTCCTGCCATTAATCCACAGTTTACTTTCACAAGCTGCTTCTCTCTTGGCCAGTGGCTACACACTGCCCCCTAATGGCAACTAGAGAGAGCTGCATTGTTCCTCTTCTTTCAGCTCCCACCTGTACACTGTCTTCGCCTCCAGGCTACTCTACATCATTTGAAATTTAACACAATTCACAACAGAGCTTCAGAGCAAAGGAAGCTGTATTCTGCAGTGCTGTAGGTCTCTATAAATTCACCTGTTGTTTTCTTATTTGAATATCACACAGTACTAACAGATATTTTTTGTGTTTGGATATGGTGTTAGATTCTCTGTGATTGGCTCCTCACAGCGCACTCAGATCAGCAGCCTCCCTCATCTCATCACCACACTTCCATAGCGATTTTTCTATGCAGCGACTGAACTGAATTATCAAACTAACTATTTATGAGACAAACAGGCCCAAATGTATCTAAGCAGTGAGATCGATATTTCTCCTTGTAATATCAAATGCATCGATGGCTTGATAAAGTCTCTCTCTTTGCTTCCTCCTGAAGTGAGCCATGGTTCTGACAAGTTTTTGTGGCAGTTGTATATTTGCTGATCCAAATATGAAATAAATTTCACTACAATGCTGCTGTCAGCCGTGTTGTTGTGTTTGTCTTGAACTTAATGCAAGCAGCAATGAAAAGTCAAATGGCATCAGTTATCTTTTGGCCTATTTGCCGAGGTGGTGCATACTGGCAGCCCTGCCAGATGGACATTACAGTAGTGAAAGTGACAGACGACCACGCCCTGTACAAAGAGTTGAGCATTAGTTGAAGTCATTAGTTTACATAAACCTCAGCCAAATACATTTAAACTGAGTTTTTCACAGCTCCTACCATTTAATCCTAAAAACATTCTCTGTCTTAGGTCAGTTAGGATCACTATTTTATTTTAAGAATGTGAAATGTCAGAATAACAATAGATTAAAAGATGTATTTCAGCTTTTATTTCTCATCATATTTCCAGTGGTTCAGAAGTTTGCATATGCTCAGTTAGCATTGCCTTTAAATTGTTAAACTCGGGTCAAATGTTTTGGGATGCCTTCCACAAGCTTCTTACAATAGGTTGCTGGAATTTTAGCCCATTCCTCCTGGAAGAACTAGTGGAACTGAGTCAGGTTTGTAGGCCTCCTTACTCACACGTTTTTTCAGTTCTGCCCTTAAATTTTCTATTAGATTGAGGTCAGGGCTTTGTGACGGCTGCTCCAATCCACTACCAATCCAATCCACTGTGTTGTCCTTAGGCCATGATGCCAAGAAAAGCCTCCCCCTTTTTCCATAACGATGGCCTAATAGTTCAATTGTTGTTTCATCAGACCAGAGGATGTAGTGGATATAGATACTTTGGTACCTGTTTCCTCCAGTGTCTTCACAAGGCCCTCTAGAAAGGCTGTTGTTCTGGGATTGATGTGTACTGTTCGGACGATCCGTCTCCTTCCTGAGCAGTATACAGGAAGAATGCTGTTCTTACATGCTTTGTAACAAGAAACAACAAGGCTTCTGAGAAATGGTACCTCAGAAACCAACACGAGTTATTCTTTGGTGTGAAATATCTTCTCTTTTTTCTGGGAGGGACAATAAACTGATTTGATGAGGATACACTGATGTTTTAGCTCCTCCCACTGAAGATGCAAGGAGGAACAAAGGAAAAATTGGAGGAGAGAGGAAATGAAGAAATGCTTTTACGTGCCTGAGGCGTCCTGTTTTCTGAACTGTAATCTGAAGTGAAGTCGGCTTCTGATGATGGGCGCCCATTAAATAAACATATGCACATTTGTAAAAAAAAAAAAAAAAAAAAGAAAAGAAATATCTGTATTCTGCATTTATACAGTTGCATATACATATATATATATATATATGACAGTGATGATGCACAAATAATGTGCTAAGTGCTGAGAGACTCTCCCTGTAGTATATTTGTGATGCAGATTCAAAGGGAAAGCAGTAGTAGTATTGTTTGTCAGTCAGACCTAGAGTTAACAAATCTTTTAACTAGATGGTCAATCTGAAAACATAAAAGCTTGGGAGTCTTAAACTGGTTCTGTACAGTATAGATTCATCTACTTCAGTACAACATGCTTGATGCTGTGATATGTTTTCAGCATCCAGTCATTAACAGATTTTGGATGGATGGCCTTTTGTTAAGGAAACCTAGATACCAAATTACAATATGGTGCCCAGTTCATTCCTCTGAAAGCTGCTCAATACCCCAAAATAATTCTGCATGTTTACAGATTCTGGCCATAGAAGGTCCCTATGTCTGCATACCTTTGGGCCCAGAGAGCATCCTTACTAGCTCCTAGCTGGCTGACTTCCTGTTTGCTCCCTACACACATTAATCAGATAAAATAAAAGTTTCCCGTGCTTCTTCTAGACTTTCTAAATAAAATTGGAGCCAATGCATCCGTTTCTGATAATAAAAATAATTTCTTGAGGTTCTGTGATGCTCTGAAAAATAGATTCATTGTTTTATAACAGCTCATCATGGGAGTTATAGTAATTTGGTTTGACCACTATGCCAAACATCAGACTTTTCCAAATGACATTGGTGCTCCAGCCTGGTATGTGATGCTCTTTAATCTGTGAGTGTTTTAACCTATGCCATGATCTTTTCCTAAACCTAACCATGTAGTTTTTGTGCCTAAATAGTTCTACACAGTTGTTGTGAGTAAAGCTAAGGTGTTTTGTGATGTTTTATGAAGTACTGGAAACACTTCCCATTCAAATGTATGTGAAACAGGACAACACTATGAATGTATTATGAGAGCTGGATACGGTGCCACCACTCAGGGTTCAGCAAAATGTTTCCCAGTAACCACTGCAGTACTTCCTCCACAGGCCACAATAATAAAAGAGATGTCTGTGGAACTGTTGACAGGCCACCTCAAACTACAGACCTTTTCATTTTAATTATCTCTCTGTGCTGTGAATTTTTAATTCATGGAGATTTTACACTTTTACATTTTTTACATCAAACTTTCCCAGAGCCAAGAGAAGTGAGATTTAATTTTTGTGACATCACCCCAAAGTATAGAATATGAACTGAGGAGCTTGCTCTGGGGCAGCAGGGGAGACGCTAGCATGTGCAGTGAGCTGCAGAATGCAGACGCAAGCCCAGAAGCCCTTCTGTGAGTCAAGCCCTTATTGCCAAGCCCACAGGCTTGGTGGCCAAAAAATAAACTACCACTTCTGTGTTTATTACACCATGTCCATCACCCCCAAACCCAAATTTTCCCATCAAGAATCACTGAAAAAGGACGCACTCTAAAGTGAATAAAATTTTCCAAATGACACAAACCCAACAAAATGACTTCTACAGTATTATCCTAATTTGATCCAGTGGGTCCATTGCCATTTGAAAAGTCCAGGTGATGTGTAAGACATTTTTATTTGCAAAAGTCTCTACAGGAAGTGTCAGAAACACTCACACTCTGTGAGGTCCTGTTTTAATTAAATGTTACTAGGCAGCTATGTCTGTCTATTCAGGTATTTAGTTGGTTTGACCTCACACTACTGATAACCTTTACATGAAAATTCTATATGTGAAGTAGGCTGCTGTATTTAACATCACAGAGTATGAGGTCATCAGTCTTGGCAATATTACTCAGAATGAGAGTATATTACAATTTTCCTGACATTAGTTAAAACACCCTTAATCCATAAAGGAGTTACACTAATAATTTTAAATGTCTACAAAAAGAAAACTAGGAATATTGTGTGAGCTGCTAGAGTATTTTCCTCTCCAGTGCGGTGGGTGGATGGCTGGATGTCTTCTCAGGGAGCACCAACCTCAGCTTCCTCCTGGGATTGGAGCCTTCCTCCTCTGACAGATACTCCTGGTGCAGCAGTGCAGGAGCTCCAGCAGCACCTTCTGTGGAGGAGTCACTCTGTGTAGACATAATGGGTGCAGAGACACCTGACACAGACACAGACACATCTGCTTGCACGCTGTCTCCTGACACCACCACTCCTGGTCCTTCAGCTAGAGCTGCACCCCCAGCTAGCATGTTAACTGTTGACCCACCGGGTACATGCTCGGTCTCTGTCTGGCTGTTAGTGTTTGACAGATTTTCTATTAGAGGGCCACTGGCAGCCAAGTTTGGCCCAATGCTAGATGCAACAGCATTAGCTGGACCAGTAGGGAACAGTGTGTTATGTCCAGGGGTCCCTGTGCTGAGTAGAATATTCCCTCCTTGAAGCGATAGGCTGCTGCCAGTCAGCTGTGAGCCAGCTGAGCCCAGCAGAGACAGGTTCGTAGTATGATTCCTATCTATGGTAGAGAGGGAGAAGGGATGCATGGAGGAAGGCTTAGGACCGGTCAGAACTGATGCAGTAGCCTGACCCAGTAAGTTGTGTATCTGTCCTATGGCTATAGCAGAGGCTGACTGACCAGCAGTATTGGTGGTATCATCAGACTGGGACTTGTCTGGGTGTGTAGTCTTGCCCTGGTCAGCTGCCGTACTTTCCCGCTCACCTTTTCCTTCTCTGTCTTCTGTATTCTTGGTAGATTTCTTCATTTTCTCACCCCTTGTTTTCTTGCCAGTGTTTACTTTCTCTTCCTTCTCTCTTCTTTCTTTTCCACTCTGCCTTTTCTCATGACTTTTCTTCAAATTGTCCTCATGTTTCCTCTTAGGATGGACTTTGCTTTTTCGTAGTGGGTTTAGGTTTAGTTTAACCTTCAGCAGCCGACCAGCCTGGATTTTAGCTTTATGTCTCCTTTCTCTTCCTTTGTCTTTGTCTCTGGAGCTCCTTGCCTCCTCCTCTCTAATGTTTCTTTGCTCCAGGATTCTTGAACTTAGATCGAATGTTACATTTCTTGATTCTCTTCTTAACTCTGTGTCCTTTATCAGGTCAGAATGGTTGTAGCTGACATTCTTGAGGTCAAATAGAGCAGAATCTCTCAGACTCCTCTCTTGTCTCATGGCCTGTTCTGGTAGTCTGTAGGTCCTGTGGCAGCTCTCACAGTGTAGAGTCTCATATCCTCTGCTCTTACCTTCCACATAGGTCCTGTAGCTGTTCATGTCTCTGCTTGTCTCATAAGCGGGCAGGGTCTCTGGTCTCTCAATTAAGGTTTCTTTCTGTGGAGAGTAGGAATTGGAGGTGCCAAACAAATGAAACTTGTTAGGAATGTCCCTGCTCAGGGTTCCCAGCTGAATCCCAGGCTTTCTCCTGTCTTCCTCTATTATTCTTATTCTCCTATTCTCTCTTTCCTCCTCCACCTCCATCTCTCTGTTTATCCTGTTGTTGTTCCATCTCATCAGGTTTGGCCCCACCCCTCTTTCTCCTCTGGCGCTACAGTCTGGGCACCTAAAATGGCTCCCGGCCTCATCCACACTGGACCAAAACTGGCCACTGGGATTTTCTAATGCTGTGTCCAACATCATGGCTTCCCTGTCTCGTGGCTGACTGTTACTGGCGTGCAATAAAACATTTCTCCTCTTCTCCTCTAGGTGACTGACATGGTGGTTGAGCGTTTTGCTGATTCTCTCCTCTTTGTCTTTCTGTCTTTTACATTTTTTTAGTGTCTTCCTGTGAAACACTTGATAGTAAATCAGGAGAACCAGCAGGGTAAGGCCAACACCACCTGGAGCACAGCAGGACAGAATAATGGTGTCTTTAAGGAGTACCCCCCCCCTCTTTCTCCCCTGGCGCTACAGTCGGGGCACCTAAAATGGCTCCCAGCCTCATCCACACTGGACCAAAACTGGCCACTGGGATTTTCTAATGCTGTGTCCAACATCATGGCTTCCCTGTCTCGTGGCTGACTGTTACTGGCGTGCAATAAAACATTTCTCCTCTTCTCCTCTAGGTGACTGACATGGTGGTTGAGCGTTTTGCTGATTCTCTCCTCTTTGTCTTTCTGTCTTTTACATTTTTTTAGTGTCTTCCTGTGAAACACTTGATAGTAAATCAGGAGAACCAGCAGGGTAAGGCCAACACCACCTGGAGCACAGCAGGACAGAATAATGGTGTCTTTAAGGAGTATTCACATGAATCACAACAACTCTGGCATTTTTTACATCCAGTCCAATCACTCCAAAACATTTCTCTCAAAGGATCTAGTGAGAGACCAGCTGTTTTAATAGGATCATTTTGCATCAAATGTACTTCATTTGAATAAAACTGGACCAATAAGAAGATTTGCTCACTGATATTGTATCAATGTTGTCAAACACAAATATTCAATATTGATCAGCAACAAACTGCCTTATTATTCACTTCGGAGAAGTTTGACACTGTAAAATTCAAGCTGATGGAATATAGTATTCCAACATCTAATTTCACATAACCTGCACTACAAAATTATAAGTAGCTGTACACAGGAATATGACATAGTTTGCAGTCATTTGTGAGAATCAGTGAATATTAAGTTTTCTTAAATTAAATGGATTTATTACCAGAGTGTGAGCTATTAGTTTGCTAAACAGTGGTCAGCAAGTAAGTTGTCATAAAGCCTTATGTTACCAGCCAGTATAGCAGTTAGCAAATGCCTATGTGCTAGTGTTAATAAAAGCAGAACAAATCTGTGCTTCACTACTTCTTATTTAAACAAGCTCTAATGTCAGTGCTAGTATAATGTGATATAAAAGCACAGCTGAGACAGGCATAGACACAGAAGAAGTTTAAAATGTGCATTATTCCAATGTGTAATTATCCATCCATCATCTATACCACTTATTCCTGAATAGGGTCACGGCAGGGCTGGAGCCACTCCCAGCTGACACTGGGTGAGAGGTCGGGGCCACCCTGGACAGGTCGCCAGCCTATCATAGGGCTGACATGTAGACAAACAATTATACACACTCACACTTACTCCTACAGGCAATTTAGAGTTGCCATTCAACCTAAGCTGTCTTTGGACTGTGGGAGGAATCTGGAGTACCCAGAGAGAAGCCAGGTAGGCACAGGGAGGACATGCAGACTCCACACAGAAAGGCCCCGGGTCGGACGGGGCACGAACCCGGAACCTTCCTGATGTGTAATTATAGTTAATCAAATTATTATATAATTAGTTAGTTAGTTTATTTATCTTTTCATATAATTTCAAATGCATGAAGAAAAAGCAGAGAATGTCAAAATGGAAGGCCAGGCATCTAATTTAGCATTTAATAACAGCATGGGCTGCATTTATTATACATATCACTGATATCAACTGACCTGCTATTGTGGAGTTAAAACTGTGTCAGGTATTTTAGCCAATCAGAGCCAAGGATGTGCTTTATAGAAGTGATCATTCACAGTGATTCATAGCTGTGCAGTTATTTTAAAAAGCCCTGCATTGTTATTCATACAGTACACTCTAAATGTAAACTTTGTGTTTGCATTGTCTGTGTTGTAGAATTTACTGAAATGCTGATGTATAACTGCTGTATCACTGTCAAATTAACTTTAAGTGTGATTGTAACCTTTGACATCAGACTTTCCAGTCACACTGTACACTGTTCTTAGTGGAACTTGTTACTCAGAAAGAGACCGACCATGACCTTGTCATTTGTGTGTCATTCTCACCAATAAAGCACATGACTGCTGTGATGGCCAGATCTTGAGTGTACAGTTGTGGCGTTATGCTGCCTCTTGTCTCTGTCTGCACTGTGACATTCTGACTTAATGGGACACAGGTGGCCTCAGTCAGCAAAAGCACCATGGTTACAGCCAACGCAGCTGTGTCAGCGCTCACAGACACCATCCTATGACCGTTATGGAGGACCTGAAGGCAGCAAGGGGGGAAGCATCAGGTTTAAGTCAAATGGTCTTGTACTAATTCACAACTAAGAAAATACATAATTTCATTAGATGACTGGACCCTGGTTGTTTCCAGTGTACTTCTAAAACAAATGATAAACTGATGAGCTTCTCAAAAGCCTCTTTAAATTTTGGTACAATCTTCTTCAATTCCTTATCTACTTGTACCGGTCACTAAATGAATGCAATTATTCAAATTGATCCTATAATGTAATATTTTCATGTGTGAATTGTGTTAATGAGTCAGTCTGTAGTCACCAAATTAAGTATGTTTCTACTCTTTTACTATTTCTTTATTATTTCATTTTAAGTCATTTGTTTTACTTCCTAAACAAGTGAAGCTGCATTATTAATGTGCACTGGTTGAAGAGGAGCTCCTGCACCTTGTCAGATCCATGTATACAGGTGGACTGAAAGGTACAGTAGCCAGTTCTTGTTACGGTGTGGAACTTGCATCCTGTGTTGTGCTTTTGTTTTGTAAGGACTTCCTGCTCTATCTCCCCTCACCTGTCCCAGCTTTACTCCAATTTATAATCAACACTCATTGCATTCACCTGTCCTTTGGCTGCCTGTGTATATATTCTCCTCTTTTCCCTCAGTCTGTTGCTGGTTCATTGTACTTGCTCTTTCTGCTTGCCACACCTTGCCTGTCTGCATTCTAAGGTTTTTTGGGGGGTTCAGTCACCTGTTTGATTCTTGCCTTGGTTTCCTTTGGATTGGATAATATTGCAAGACCATAAACATATGCAGTGTAAACAAATGGATGTTTTAAAGTGTTAAAATATATATACTGTATATAAAAAAAGAAAGAATAGAAAGTCTGAAATATCTACTAACCTATAGTATTTCTATCCAGATGATCAGGTTATCTGACAAACACCTCCAGAATCTTCAGATCTCTGAGGTCATTCAAAGGAAATGCACCAGAATGTAAACTGGTGACCAGATTCCCTTCAATGTGAGGATCTGCAGGACTGTAGTACTTTTAAGTCAGCCAGCACTGATCTGCAAAACAACAGAGAACTGCATATAGGGAAAAGTGCTTTTTAGCCTCACAGTGCACTCAAAATCATTAATGTATATGGTATAGTATATGTCCTCGACACAAGAAGAGGACTGAAGAAGGTCTGCAAAACGTCCATATATACTGTGTGGCTGTCATTCATTATGGCTGTTAATTTAATACTTTACCCACTGGATCAACCACATTCTTTAAATCAAACTTACAATAACCAGCTAAAAATAGTGCATTTAAAATTCTTCCCAGGATGTTTTTTTTCCCCCTGGGAACATGCTCCATGCCTATGCTGTTGGCCAGGGCAAGAACATCTCCCTGGATTAGATGGTGAGAACTGTCCCCCTTAGGGCCTGGCCGGTAAGGAGGTCATGGTCCAGCACTGAGATGTTTGAGAAAGGCAAGTTTCGGAAGGACCCGTTACTGAGCACTAATATATGGATGGTATGACTTAGACCTGGACAATTGATCAAACTTTCAAATTCATCATAAGTAGACTTTGAAATGTTCTGATAACACCCGTCTATAAGTGATTCTACCTGAAAAAAAAAAGATGTAAGATTTATTTTTTCACTGGAAGGACAGCACCCCTTTTCTTGAAGCTAATTCAAATGTTTAATTAAAGCTGTTAACCAATATGACTGGAAACAGTCAGTCCATAATGCTTTCAGACCCCTGTCAAGTTTTCCATAGTTTGTGTTTTAGACTCAACTTAAAATAGATTCAGTTCATTTACATCCATCTACACACAATACTCCACAATGTTACAGTGAGAACGGGGTTTTGAGGTGTTTTGTAAATTTAAATAAATAAATAAATGACTGAGATATCTCATTTACATAAGTATTCAGACCCTTTGTTATGACACTTGAGCTCTGGTGCATCTTATTCCTACTGCTGATTGTTGAGATGCTTCTACAGCTTGACAAGTGATTTTTTTCCTTATATTTTGTCTGCTCTAACTAGGCCAATTGTTCTCGCTATGTTGTATTTTACATTTTCGCACTTGGATTCAGTAAAGCACTAAAATGACAACTAAGCTCAGTTTGTGTTTATTGGGTCAAGTGTTTAGCTTACTGGACAGCTAGATTATGCCCATCTAGTGAGGCCAGTACACTATACACTAGCCAAAAAACAGGATGGTGAGACATGGAGGGTGGACAGGGCTTGGATGTCACTGTCCTGAATGAAGTCCAGAACATCCAGGAGCACATCAGTAAGATGGCGCCCACAGAGCAGTAGCACTGAGCATGGGTTAGACCCTCCCAAATCCAGATGGGAAAATCCTTTGAAGGTTGAGGAGAATAACAGGGCAAAGATCTTGTGTGATACATCCAAATCTGGGAAGACAGGCAGGTAATGGCTGACTAATACATCTGTATGTATATTTCATAATGTCATCATCTCAGTCTTTGTCCTGTTTCTGCCCCATGTTTTCCTGTATGTTAGACCCAACCCACCGACTTTGTTCACTGTTCCTGCTTTCACTACCTGCCCTCCCCACTTATCACTTGGCCAGTTTAAAAGTCAGTAGCCAGCCTCATTTGCTGGCAGACTGTCCACAAAGAAAACATCTCTTGTGAATCTCCAGTGTTGATCGGTCTGTGCCTGTTCTGTTTTTAACCTGGCTCTTCACTGGACTCTCAGCTTGCCTGCTCCTGTTTGATTCACCTGTGTTTGGATGTTTAATTTCTCTGGGGTTCTGCTCAGTTATTTGTCAAGTTTTCTGCTTGCCTTTCTTGGTTATGGACTCCAGTTTCTTCCTGTCACTCTGGCCCTTGCCTGAACCGTTTGCCTGACCTGTCTGTTTGGAAACAAGATGCTTTTGCATAATGACCATGACTAAGCCTGCCCCCCACACTGGTTTGTTAGTCTCTTACCTTTATGTACTGTGTAAAGCTCTGTTTGTCTGGCTCAGTACCTGCCATATACTTAAGTGTGTTCCTGCTAGTCTACCTCTGAATCACTTCCAATACTTACTTGCCACGTCACCTGTTTCTACTAATAAATGTTGCTGGTATAAATATTAAGTAATGGGCTGCTACAGTAAATGGTCTTACTCAGGACTGGTATTTGTACATAAACCTTAGGGAATAGATGGTGTTGTCATTTGGACATTTGACTGTAGTTTGCTAAGATTAAAAAAAAACAATCTAAATTTTCTTTTGAGAGCCATCGCTGCACATGTGAGCATGTTCGCTGTTTGTTCTGAGTTGCTAAGAAAATAAACAGTGATAAGAGAGCCAGTGTGTAAGAGTGTAAGTGTGTGTAGTATCAAAGGTTTAAGTCGTCCCCAGAGGATGCTGCCTGATGGATGACAGCCAGACACTAGAGCTGAATGAGGTCTATCATGTTTCTGCTAAAGCTCTTTTCCTAATGGACTTTGCTCTGGTGTGCTGTTTTCTTAGAAAAATATGGGTTACTGCACAACAGTAATGTTTCCATAAAATCCATTAACCAGACTGAATCAACATAATGTGAACATGGCCATTACACAGCATGAGGGTGTTATATCCTGGCAGACTTCTATCTATTGCAGTTTTAACTCAAAAAATACTGTGATGTTTAATGGCTTTTTAAGCAATGTTTTTCTGTGAACACTGAATCCAATGTACAATAATGTAGCTGCTCATAGTGCTGAATTAAGAACCAGCACCTAACTCATCACCAAAGCTTTATGTA